GAAGGAGATTGCCTTGGAAACAGCATCAGCATGAATGTTCCAGTAAAGCCAATCGACAGCTGGTCAAGAGTAATCGGCCATCGTCTTCTGGTGGAACCGACCTTGGAATCTCTTCACCGAACACACTTTTACTTGAAATGGAAGTAAATTCAACAACTAAGATCGAAGGGTTTGACCAGATGTCCTTTATCCTAATGCCCAATTCACCGAAAGAGCGAAGTAGAGAGAGAAAGAGAGAGAGAGAGGAAATATTTAAATCACATACATTTTTTGACATAATTTCTTCAGATTCTCATAGTTCTAAACGAGCTACTGACCAGAAGTAGGTTAGAGAAGTCTACTCTACACGGGATGCAAAATATAGTGACCAAGGCGACTTGCACCACCTGGTTACAATATGCAAATGTGGTTAAGTGTGCGTATGTGGTTGTGTGTAAAATACTCACCTCTTCGTTAAGCAGGTTGCTCAGATCTATCCGGTACCGACACAGCGCCTCACGCATTGCACGATACTTTTGCTCATGCACATTTGACATTAGAAGATAGTACTCTTTCAATAGTACTAAGCAGATCGTGAGGAATTCACTGTAGGTTAGGATGCGTCGGATAGTCGAAACCGGGAAAGAAAGACGGGAGGGGGGTGGGTGGCAAATGTAGAGAAGGTTGAAAAAGTCGACCCAAATGGGACCAAAGCAAGAATCAACCATCCAGACCAAATATAGACTTAAAAAGTATCAAAGAACGATATTGGATTAGATAAAGATGATAATGATAAAGATAGAGCCCAGATGAACAGGCATTATTTGGAAAGTTATAGCAATTTATGTGAATAGCTAGATATAAACCAAGGTATAAACTCCTAATGTAGTATAGTACCCTAAAGATATTCGCCCAAATAGGCGGCGACCCTTGAAAAAATGCACATGGATTGGACTGTACCCTAATACGGCTTTGTATACACTAAATCAACATGAGTGTGAGTTCAAAAAGATGAATTAATGCTGCGAAAATAAACACATATAAGCAAAACTAAAGTACAACCAGGTTGGAATGGAGATGTCTAAATGACTTAAAGGGAAACTAACTTAAATTTAGAAGTTGTTTGACCTTGTTTTCGCAACTTGGTCATTTTGGTAGGAAGACTTAGAGGAGCGGCATTCATGAAAACCCTTCACACTCCACACTGTCGTTATCACCCCCTTCACCCTTGTGATGGGAAATTGACCAGAGTCTGTCATATTGTTACGTAGTCATTCCCTGGGTCCTATCAAAGTCTCCCTGTTGCCCCGTCGAATCCGTCTGCTATCTCCCTGGTACATGTATTTCACTCGACCTCTGCTCCCCCCCCATCTGTGCTACTCGAGACGTAATTCGTCCATCACTTGCACCTGGGTGACTAATTCGGCGGAAAGAGACTATGACCACAAAAAAACGGCCACACCATCTTGGTCTTCATACTTTCGATGAACTTAAATTTGCATCACTCTGACGCAAAAAAGTGGAATATCTTGTAATTTGGGAAATTTCCGAATTGCTCATTGACATCGCAATCGACAACAAAGAAAGTAAGACTATGAAACCGCAACTTCTATGCAAACGGACCTTCCAGTGAGACATGCAGTATAGAGTAAATTCACAAGTGTCCCTAAGCTAAGAAAATATCGCAAAAATGTCATCAAATTAAATAACAAAGTGTTGGTTCGGCCTTGTTTTCGCGACTTGGTCGGAGTGTCATGGCAACCATGTGAAGCGTACTTAGTCCCGTGTCCTCTGCCAGAGAATTCGTGATTTCCAGCATTGGGCCATTGGCTGGGCACAGACCCAAACGTTTCGTCAACATCGTCAGTAAGAGGCGCCATCGTAAGCACAGAGTTACAAATGTATAGTATAGGTCACCAGCTTGTGTGTATGCGCATTCTTCGTGTGTGTCTTAAGGAGAGGCGACTGGTGACAGACTTGGCTACGGCGGATACCAGCCAACACACACATGAACCTCATCCTAGTACCATAGGATTATGTGGAAGTGTCAACTGGAAGGACGAAGGGAGTGGTGTGCTTTTCGCCATTCAGGAGGGGAAAAGAGAGGCGGTACATTTTCACACCAGCAGTTATGACTTAAACCGGACACAGGGTCCCAAAGAATGAGACACAATGTGGCAGGGAATGAGAAAAAGGATAACCGAACCATGGGTTTGTAGCCTAATGAGATGGCATGGGCACAAAATGCTATAAAGCCTCGAATATGGCGTAATTGGGACCGGGAATTGAGGACTCTTGGGCAGCCAGATTTCAGAAAATCAAACAGTGATATGAGATGTAGTCACCCATTTTCGCTTAAGATGATGAAGGACTGGTAGAAGAAGAATTTTCCCACAATCATATGAGTTGAGCTGACGTTTCCATTGAATTTGCATAGCCTTACTTTCCCAAAAGTTGTTCTTATCTCGGCTGAGGTGGACTGCAGTTTCGACCTCGCCTCGGTCTTATCAACACCCTCAGCGGGAGTCGAACCGCGACAGTGC